TAGTAATGAGAGAAGGTAGGCCCCTTAATGCCCACAGTTCGCAGGTTCAGGATGAAGTTGTCCCCCACACGAGGGGGTCGAAGGTCTTGGGGATCAATGGACAGAAACCCAGAGCTTCCTGGAGGTGGGCCTTTCACTGTGAGCCTGGCTAGGGCCGGATGGACAGAGCCTGCAGACACCTGGACAGAAGGGCAGGGAAGGCCGGGGTCTATGACAAGGACCCAGGTGCACAAATGCTCCCCCCAGACTCGAGCAGAAGCACTCAGAAAATGACTCTCAAGCCCTCTCTTCCCGCACACCCAACCCCAGGGCTCAGAGAAGCGCTACCAAGAGCTGCAGTTCTGTGGTGCCTGGTGGGACAGGGATAGAAAGGCTGACTTGGCCAATCCTATTGGTGTTCTGCTCTAAGTCGAGGACTCTTGAGCCAGAGCCAGCGGAGAACGTGGCAGAAACTTTGACAGGAACGTCAGAGGCTGTGGAGCCTGACATCTCTCGGACCACAGCCTAGAGGGACATGGGTGAGAAAAAGGCCATGCTCAGGACTGTGCGGCCCATGCGTGCGCCCATCCGCTCCCGCCCTTCAGAGAAGAACCTGCAGCACGAAGTGGGCTCCAGGCACAAGGTGCTGCTTGGTGTTGCTGAGGTCCAAGGAGAAGGCAGATGACACAAAGCGCCAGGATGTGAGCTCTGCCTCCTCCATCTCCCCACCTATAGGACAGAAAGGGGGCAGATAGGGGGAGTAAGGAACCCAGGAAAGAGACAGCAGTCAGGAAATGGCTCAAGCATCCTTCCCTCCTCACATGTGTGTAACAGGTCTGTCGAGTGCATGAGTGGACAGATGGAAGGTACAAGACAACTGGGGACAGACAGGCCCAGAGAGAGGCAGATTTGGGGTCGTTGCTCTTGGCTGTGTGTCTGAGATGAGCAGGCAGACATCAGGGCTGTACTGAGGATGAGGAGCTGGGAAAACGGTGTAACTGGCATATTATTTTATATTATTTATTTAGTTAGGTTTTTTGAAACAGGGTTTCTCTGTGTAGCCCTGGCTGTCCTGCACTCCCTCTGTAGATCAGGCTGGCCTGGAACTCAGAGATTCACCTGCCCCTCTCTTACTCCCAAGAGCTTGGGTCAAAGGCCTGCACCACCACGGCTGCAGGGCTGCACTGACAGTATCAATGCTGCACCACCACGGCTGCAGGGCTGCACTGACAGTATCAATGCTGCACCACCACGGCTGCAGGACTGCACTGATAGTATCAATGCTGCACCACCACGGCTGCAGGACTGCACTGACAGTATCAATGCTGCACCACCACGGCTGCAGGACTGCACTGATAGTATCAATGCTGCACCACCACGGCTGCAGGACTGCACTGACAGTATCACTGTGCCCCCCGTGTCTAGGGTGGCAGCAGAAGAAAGCCACCCACCTGGAGACTCGATGACGGCTGCCGCGGCATAGAGGCGCAGCCCCTCCAGGTCTGCAGCCCCAACACTGACTTTACCCAGGGCAGCCTGGAGCTGGTCCTTTGAGATGGAAACTTGACTCTGGCCTTCCACCAACTAAACAAAGACAACAGCATGTAAGTGAGGATCCCTCTTCTGTTCAGTGCCCTCTTCACCACACCCCTACCAAGGCCTGGGTTCCCAGTCTCAGTGCCCTCTTCACCACACACTACCTTAGTCTGGGTCTGCAGGTTCTGTGTCCTCTTCATCACGTCCCTACCTTGGTCTGTGTCTCCAGGCCCCGAAGGAAAGTCCTCTTCCCATCCTCATCCATGAGTGCAAAGCGCGTGTACACCACACTCTGCACGGGCTTCCCGTAGATATACCTGTTCCCACAGGAGATTCAGAGAGCTGAGAGCTGGGGAAATACCTCAGCAGGCCAGGTGATTACCGTGCCAGAACCAAAACCTGAATTCAACTCCCCTGAATCCATGTAAATCACCAGGTGAGACAGCATCCACTTGTAAATCCAGCAGTGGGAAGGTGGAGGCAGGGGGCTTGGGGTTGCCTAGACAACCAGCCTAGCCCTTTAAGTAAGTTCCGTCTCAATGAGAGACTGTCTCTCGAAGGAGATGGACAGAGATCCTAACAATGCCCCGAGGTTGTCCCCTACCTGCGCATACATGTACACACACAGGCCCCTGCACTCGTAAACACACACACGCACATCTTTAATCCCAGTACTCAAGAGGCAGATGGACTGCTGTGAGTTCAGGCCAGCCTGGTCTATTAGGTGGGTACACAGGGAGGGAAAGACAAGGTCTCAAAAACAAAACTAAAGAAGAAGAAGGAAGCAAGAAAGGAAAGAAGGAAGGGAGGGAGGGAGGCAGGAAGGGAGGGAGGGAGGAAGGGAGGGAGGGAAGAAGGGAGGGAGGAATGGAGGGAGGAATGGAGGCCATAGAGTTGGGCTCTGCAGGACGATTCCTGGGTGTGGGCAAGAGGGTGGCAGTCACCTGGCCTGGATGTCTAACTGTATTTCATCCATGTAGCCGGGCACTGACAGGATATATGGCTTCTGTGGGGTGATCTTCACTTCAAAGTTGGGAAGAACTGAATGAGGGTAAAGAGATGAGTGGCCAGGCACCAGACAAAGGGTCCTCCACAGCTCCCTCCCGCAGGGCTGCCCTGCCTCACCTCCTGTCCCCACCCACACTTCAGCACTTACTGTATTTCTTCACCTCAAAGCGGGCACTTCTATTGGACTGCAGGCCGTCTGAGAACCTCGCTGAGATCGTCCAGGTCCCCGGCCTGACAGTGGACAAGGGAGAGACTTCAGCTACCCACAGACAGCCCATGGCCTGCATCCTCCAGAAGAGGCATGGGGGGCACAGGGCCAGAGCATCTGGAACGTGACCCCCTATGTCAGAGGGACGTGTTGATAGAGGGGTGGCCTGAGGTGGGGCAGCTCACTCTGAGATGTCTGGGATCACGAAGTCATCCTGGAAGATGGACGTAGGAGCAAACACCTCCTTCTTCCGAACACGGAGGCCATTAGAGTTCTGCGGGGGAGTGGGCGGTATCAGTGTGGTCAGGTGGGAGATCACACCAGTGCACAGGGTCAGGAGGTCAGAGGTCAGGCACTCACCTCCACCATAACTGTGAGGGTGTCGGTGGAAGGGCGCATCTTGTGATCCAGAGCAAAAACCCGGTAACGAACTAAGAGTGGAGGATGAGAGGTAAGAGCCCCTGCACAGAGGGACAGGGACCCCAGGAGACGCTGGGGACTAAACCCTAAGCAGTCCTCTGGGTGGTGCCGTCCGTGGGGTCACCTCACACAGAGGACACCAAGCGCAGGCTCTGAGCACCCTGGGAGAGGAAAGCAGAGGCGCTGAGGCAGGAGGCTCACCCCGCTGGCCAGGGTTATAAACAGGCTGGTCAGTCTGCACGAAGATGTGCCCACGGCGAGAAGAGAACAGTAGGTTGACGCCCTGTGTGTCTGTGGCTTTGGACAGGGAGCTCTTTAGCCAGGAAGACTGAGCCACCAGCTGGACGTGGGGGGCTCTGCGTAGCTCAAAGAGGCCACAGTTGCTCACATAAGGCAGTGGGACCTGTCAGGAGTAGGCGGGGAGAGACTGTCCAAGACGAAAGGGACTCAGAGCCCAGGACAGGGACACTAAGACCAGTGGGCGGGCCAGCCATAATGGCGTGTGGCAGTAACCCCAGCACTAGGGCGGCCAACAGAGGACTGCTGAGCGACCACTCGCAATCCAGGCTATACTGTGAAAGCCTGTTTCCAAACCAAAAATAAACATAAAAGGCAACAGAAGAACCTGGTGGATCACAGCACTCGGGAGGCTGAGGCAGGAGGATTGCTGGGAGTTCAAAGCCAGGCTGTTACATAGCAAGCTCCTGTCTGTGACTAAGCAAACAGGCATAGGGTACACAGGGAGGCCTAAGAAACAGCAGGGGTGTGGGCACTGGTTACCTCGAGGCTGAGAAGCACAAAACCATTTCCTGAACTGAGCACAAAATCCTTCTTTGGGCTGCAGATGCGACCATTTTGGTTTCTCAGGAACACTGATCCTTTTACTTGCTGTCCTGGAGGGGCATCCTGGAGCTGCAATCCCACTGACAGAGGGACCCCCAAATTCACCACAGAAGGGGAGAAGAGGAGCAACCTGGGAGAACAGTAGAGGTACTTCAGACCCGGCCTAAGACCACCACCCCACTCCCCCTAACCCGCACCTTCAAGCCCAGTGTCTGGCCCCAGGACCTGGGCTTCTGCAGAGACAAGGCAACGACGCTCAGCACCCAGAGCAGTCCCCACAGGAGCCGCATGGCTGCAGGGTCCAGGGAGGTCAGACCTGTCTGGTCAGAGGTCTGCTCCCTTCTGGGCAACCTAGGCCTGGGGCAGTTTGACTCTGGACCTTGCTCCTCCTCTCGCCCAGATGAGCCGGGAAACCACGTGATGGCCAAGAAACGCAACTGGCCCTAGGCCCAGTGCTGGGGAAGCAGCCCAAACATCAGGGTCTCTGAAGAAATCTTGGCCCCAAAATGAATTTTGTGCTTGTTATTCCCAGTACCGGGCACCGCCCTCAACTGTGTTCATGCACATGTGTTAGCCCATGTGTGTTCGCACAACTCCAGCATGGCACATGGGCAGGACTGCTGCAGTTCCTACAAATCAGGAATGGCTTCACAGCCCCCTGCCTCCTACATTCAGAACCTCAACGAGGTCAACAAGCTACAACACAGTTCAAGCCAACAAAACTCAGAACTCCAAATATACGGGACAGCGTGGAGTGTGTGGTCTAAAGATGAGAGGTGTCCCTAAGGGGGCAGTGACTGTGACTCCCAGCGATAGGGCACTTGGAGCACTGGCTAGTGGACCCCAAGATGGGCTGAATTCTAGAGAGGCCTCAAGGAGAGTTCAACACAGGTTTACAACCCGAGGATTCAGAGACTTAGAATCCACAATTATGCAAACTAAGCAAGGCCCACAAAACCTGGATGGGGGTGGGCTGCCCCACCTACAGACAGACACACAGGCACACTTTGCTGTCAAAAGCTTTTATTTATGCCTAAGTCCTGGGCTGAGCTCAGGGGTCCAGAGTCCTGCACCTCACACCTGGCACCCCTGGGTGCTGTACTCCCGCAGGAAGTCATGGAGCTGCACGCAGGCTGCCCGCTGACGGGTGCTCCGGCACAGGCGCTCCGAGGGCATCTCCTCGATCCAGCTGTTGGAGTCCAGCAAGTACTGAGGGCTGCAGAAGACAAAGGGAGGCTCAGGACGGGCACAGGAGACACCTGGCTTAGGAGGGACAGAACTAGGAGCCTAGGATCTGAACCCAAAGGAAGGTCACAGACATGGGGAGCAGGGGATGGCAGGGCAGGATGACTCACTCTCCCTTGAGGTCACTGGTGACCCCGTCCAGACCCATGATCAAGTATTCTTTGTTAGGCTCCAGGCGGAGGCGGCAAGAGGCCCGGACCAGGAAGTTGCGAGTCTGACCTACAGAAGCCTTGGCATCCTTGCCTGCGGAATAAGACAGAAGACATCAGAGAAAGGAAGGCCAGGAGCCCTGGGCAGGGCTCTGTGGAGATCCTGCCATTTAACCCTCTCTGTCCTGATGGAAGTCCAGGTTCCCAGAGACCAGGAGATGGGAGGTGAGAGGATGGGGGTTCGCATTCGATTTATTCCCAGTTTGGGGTTTTCCCAATTCTAAGAGGTCCCACACCCAGATCTCAGCCTCCACGACTCCCCAGTCCACCCGCCTATCCTCCCTACTGAAATGCAGGACTTGGGTGATCTGGGTCTCAAAGAGGCGGAAGGCAGCTCTGCCATCTTCTCGGAGAACCTTAACCTGGAAGCCTGGGACGAGAAGGGAAAAGGAAGGGACATTGCAGCAACACAAAGAGGCCACAGGTGGGCTTGGGGGAAAGCAGGCAACCTGGGGAGACCACGGTGCTGGTGCCAAGCAGGATGGAGGCCGAGGGGCACTAACCATACTCCACTCGGGGATAATAGCAGGCAAACTTCATCCTGTAGCCATCCTTGTCCAGCTCCCCTCGCTCCAGAGAGCGGCGCTGTTTAGGGCACTTCCCTGAGGACAAGAGTCAGGTGAGACCAGCTGGGCGCCCCCATTTCCCAGCCCCGGCCCCAGGCCTCATCTCACCCTCGGCACACTGGCAGACATCGGCAGAGCACAAGGTGGACAGGAGCTTGCTCTTACTCGGTGCAGCATAAAACACAGAGCACTTGTGGTCTAGAGAAGAGCAGCCAGGAGTGAGGGCCTCTCCTCTCTGTCTCGGCATCTCGGGAGCCAGGGTCTCCCCACACTGTGGTACCCCTGTGAGGGGTCAGGCCCCCTGATCCTGCATGCCAGAGCATCCCAAGTGCTCACCAGGGCTGTAGTAGTCATACAGGACAGCGCTGGCCGGCTGCACCAGCCCCACGGCCACCTCCTGCAGGGCTCCAAAGCCCACACACTCCCGGGTGGTCGGGACCTGGCACCAGGAAGAAGGCTGCTCAGGGCCAGGCCGCTGCCTGCCTTGCTTCTGCTTGGTCACCGTGACCTTATCCCCAGCACCCATCCCTCATGTTCTGTTATCTTCCTGACACTAGACTCGAAAAATGGGTCCCCAAGGCCTCTGATGACTTCACTGCCACCATGGTGACCTTGCCCAGTCTTCGGTGCCCGAGGCCCTCTGCGGAGTCTCACTATAGGCACACATTCCTTGTGAGACCCTCCACGCTGGTTAGCTTCCCAACCCATGTTGTCTCACCTGGCACTTCTCCTTCCCCAGGAACGCAGGCGTGGGGAGCCCTGCTTCCACACCAGTGTCTACAATGGCCCCCACCTCTCCCTGGCTCCCCATAAACCCTTGAAGGCTGATGACTGCCAAGCTGAACTCACAGAACTCACAGCCCCATCCTGGCATTGAGGTGAGGCAGGACAGGTGAGCTCTCCAAGGCCACAACCCCACCTCTTCCCTCACCAGGTCCCCACACCATCCGATCCTGATGAGGCAGGATGGAGACCCAGCTGCTTCCTGTGTGCCTCTCCACACTCACCGAGTCGAAGTACAGCAGGACATGGGGCCCATCGGTCTCAAAGTGACTCACATACCGGTCAGAGAGGGATGTCAGCTGCAGGGGAGGGGGACAGTCACAGGGCATGGCAGTGATGGGGCTCAGCACCTGGGGTGCTACAGAGATGGAGCAGGGCTCCCGAGGACAGAGGGTGACTGGGGGTGCTGACCGTACCTTCTCCAGGTCGGCCCTCAGGGCGTGAAATCCACTCAGGAGGGTGATGTCTGCGATCGCCATGCCAGACAACCCCTCCTTGCCCGTGCGCCTACAGGGAAGAGGGGCGGGCTGTACAGGCTCCACCTGAACCACACACTGGGCATGCCCCGCCACCGTTCTCCCCCGTCCCCACTGCATAAGCAGGAAGCAGGCAGCACCCACCAGATGCACACAGTGTACTGCACTCTGGACTCCTGCTCCTCTGCCACCTTGGGAGCCTCCCTTCTGCGGCGGCTCCTTCGACCCTCAAACAGCTGCAGGGGTGTCACAGGCTGAGAGTGGGCACTCGGATCATCCGCAGCTGGCAAATCATCCTCATAGTCTTCATAGTCCTCGTAGGCTTCCCCTGTGCAGGGCCGTGGTGAGGGGTCTCAGCCGTGTCAGCCCTACAGGGCTCAAGACCCCCGACCCACACATGGTGTATTCCACATAGCCTGTGACTGCCCTGCAGGGCTCAGGCCCCTGACCCACACACGGGTGTATTTCCTACAGCCTGTGACTGCCCTACAGGGCTCAAGACCCCTGACCTACACACGGGTGTATTTCCCACAGCCTGTGACTACCCTGCAGGGCTCAGGACCCCTGATCCACACTCACGGGTGTATTTCCCACAGCCTGTTACTACCCTGCAGGGCTCAGGACCCCTGACCCACACACGGGTGTATTCCACATAGCCTGTGACTACCCCGCAGGGCTTAGGACCCCTGACCCACACACGGGTGTATTTCCCACAGCCTGTGACTGCCCTGCAGGGCTCAGGACCCCTGACCCACACACGGGTGCATTTCCCACAGTCTGTGACTGCCCTGCAGGGCTCAGGACCCCTGACCCACACACGGGTGTATTTCCCACAGCCTGTGACTGCCCTGCAGGGCTCAGGACCCCTGACCCACACACGGGTGTATTTCCCACAGCCTGTGACTGCCCTGCAGGGCTCAGGACCCCTGACCCACACACGGGTGTATTCCACATAGCCTGTGACTACCCCGCAGGGCTTAGGACCCCTGACCCACACACGGGTGTATTCCACATAGCCTGTGACTACCCTGCAGGGCTTAGGACCCCTGACCCACACACGGGTGTATTTCCCACAGCCTGTGACTGCCCTGCAGGGCTCAGGACCCCTGACCCACACACGGGTGTATTTCCCACAGCCTGTGACTGCCCTGCAGGGCTCAGGACCCCTGACCCACACTCACGGGAGTATTCCACATAGCCTGTGACTGTCACTTCCATCTGCAGGTCCTGACAGGTCGTGTTCTTCAGGTTCAGGACATTGTAGGTACGGAGGACCTGGCTCAGTCAGAGATGGGACAAGAACATGGGACACACACAGCACAGAATTAGAGGGTCCTGAGCAGAGGGACCTAAGGCCCCCCTTTCTCCCTTTCCCCAAGCCAACCCCAGATCTCCCGTCCCTCACCCAACCCCAATGAAGAAGCTAAATGAGGCCCTGGCCAAGATGTCAGAGCAGTGAGGAGGCCACCCTAGCCCAGCCTGCAGAAGGGGGCAGAGACCACAACAGGATGCCCTGCAGTGGCTCCTCCAAGACAACACAGGACAGAATGCAGAGGAGACCTGTGGGGATGACAGCGGGCAGAGCCCAGCTGTGTAAGGGGAGGGCTGGAAGGCAAATCTGGTTTGCTTTCTAAGGGTCTAACGAGGGTAAGAGAAAGGTCTGAATTTTCCCGATTTATCCTTGCCTGAGGTGCGTCCTACAAAGACAGAGAAGGTAGCAGGTCACAGGCCTGAGACACTTCATGCAGGACCTCAGAGCAGTAAAGAAAAGGACAGGTCCTGTGCGCTCTGGGCGGAGAGAAGGCTCAGAGGTTAAGAGCACTGGCTGTTCTTCCAGAGGTCCTGAGTTCAATTCCCAGCAACCACGTGGTAGCTCACAACCATCTGTAAATGAGACCTGGTGCCTTCCATGCCAGCAGTACACTGTATGCTTAATAAATAAATAAATCTAAAAAAAAAAGAAAGTAAACTACAGGTCCTGTACTCTCCCTAAAGCATACCCCGCCATGCCCTAGTACGCCCAAAAATGGTAAAACTATAACCACATTCAAATAAAAAGTACTAACGTGGCTGCAGCCTGCTTGACCTATTGTGTCTGAGATAACCTAACTGCTCCTAGACTTCCCCTAGCTGAGCTTAAAAGGGGTTGTGTCTTTCTTCTTGGGTCACAATTTTGAACAATGGAGACCCACATGCTGGAATAAAGGTTCTGTCTTTCACACTATTTGAGTCTGGGGTCTGCCTTTGCAATTCTCAGACCCTTACACAAACTGGCCTCGAGTTCATTATCAAGCAGATTGGACTTTGAGCTGCTGGTCCTCCTGACTCTGCCCCCCACCTCTGCACCGTCAGGGGTTCCACTCACTCTGGGAGGTGGCACACTTTCCCGGGCTGCCAGTCTCCTGCATGCTGGGCAGTGACCAGAGGGGCAGCCTGAGAGCACAGCAAGTGTCACCCGGGCCAGGAGGGAGGCTGCTGACAGCTCTAGCGGGACAGCGAGCCTCAGGGAATAAAGGGTCCCAGCAGCAGACGAGACAAATGGGAAGGAGAGGGGACCTGGGTCTGGATGCTGTGGACAAGGACAAGGGGCAGGAGAGACCCAGAAACATGGACCAGAGGCAAGAGGAAGGCTCAGGGAAGACAGCAGCCAGCATGGAGCTCCGCCCACAAGGTCTCCCTAAGGCCCAGGCCACCCTGCCCTGCTGGCCTCACCTTCAAGGTGCCTTTGCTGTTCCCTCCGACCTGCACAGTGATCTTGTTGCCCAGGGAGAACTTCCAGGAGGGAGAGAAAAGCAGGTCAGAGGGCACAGGATGGGTCCCTCAAAGCAGCGCATCCCCCCACCCCGCCCAGAAGGCCCCTCCTTTGCTGAAGCAGCTCTCCCCAGCCTCCCAGGCCAGGGGTTCTCAACCTGTGGGGCCTGACCCCTTTGGGGGTTGAACAACCGTTTCCCAGGGATCACCTCAGACCATCAGAACCATACATATTTACAGTAGGGTTGACAGCACTAGCAAAATGACAGTTAGGAAGTAGCAATGGATCACATGGTTTCACATGGTTGGAGGGCATGGCATGAGGAACCGTATTATAGGGTGGCAGCCTTAGGAAGGTGGAGGTCCACTGTCCTGGACCCTAGTGTGGGCTCCGCACACACACTGTTTTATGGGTGAGGGAAGATCCCTGAGGTTTAATCACGCGGCCAGGAGAAAAGTCAGTCTTCCCACAACACCCTCAGGAGAGAGCTGGACCATCATGACCGCACATGGGGGTGGACGGACCACGCTTCAGACCTGGCCCAAACCCCCATGGCACCCCATCAGGGAGGGTGTGGGTCACCTTCAGCTCCTCCTCCAGGCCCTTGACCTGGTGGTTGTTCAGTTGCAGCGCGTGAGACTTGAACCCATTGCGGCCCAGGGAACTGAGAGTCACGTTGAGGACCCTCTCCTCTGCGGTGTGGGAAGCGATCCAGTATGCAGACAGGGCGTCCAGAGTGACCACTGTGTCCTAAGGAGATTAGGCTAGGAGTTAGGCACGTGATCTCGGGACCACCTACCCAGAGCCCTATGGCTGCCCCTACCTGGGTACTACGGAATCCCCCTTCGAAGCTGCCCTGGTGGGTGAGCCAGGATGCGGCCTTGTCGGCCATTTCTCCCTTGCCCTCCCTCAGCAGCAGATGTAAGAGGCCATAGGCTGTGGTCTCGATCCACAGGGCTGGGGCCCTGGGCACAGGTTCTGATGGGCTACGAGGAGCCGGGGTGGGCAACACAACATCGTTCTGAGAGCCAGGGACGAAGCCCCAGTAGAGGTTTCCTGGAAGCAAGGGAAGGCAAGGGAAGGGCATGTTGAACAGAGAAACTGCATTTGCAGCTGAGCACGCCGGCTCTCTCCCGCCCCCTGCTGGTCGCCCCTGTTCCACGCCTCAGCCCTGAAAGGCCCCTTCTTTTCAGTCTGTCTCTGCAGGGCAAGCCCAAGGGTCCCAGGCATTCTGCCAGGCCGCCCTTGCCCTCACCGTCGGCTTCCTCAGCCATGGCCATCAGGCTGTTGTGGGCAACATTCCTCAGGTCCTCGGAGGCCTTGGTCAGTGTCAGGGCATAGGCTGTGATGGCAGCTGCGTGGGCGCCCAGGAGCCCAGCACTGGCCTTCTGCCCCAAGAACTCATTTGCCTTGGAGATGGAGGCTTCCTAGAAGAAACCAGAGGCCTGAGCCGATGTGCCCGGCTCCCAGACAGGACAGCTGGGACCACGAAGGGACAGCGTGTTGGCTTCCTTACCACTCTGTCCTTCAGCTGCTGGGCACTCCCGTCTGGGAAGACGTCCAGTCCATGGTGAAGGGCAATGACCACGAAAGCAGTGAGGGCCACATTCTCATCATGACCCACCAAGCCCCCCTGGTAAGGAGAGAATGAGGGTGTCAGGCCAGGGTGGTGAGGGACGCAGACAGTCTTACTGTTGCTATCCTAGGGACTTTTGCATGCTCACACCTGCATGTCTCTGTGAATGACTGGACATGGGTCGTGGAATGAGCCATCACCCAGCTGCTGGGACAACAGCCAGGCAGCCGTCTCCTGCAGCTTCTCTGGGGCGTCGCCCACCTGCTCCTGCGCCAAACTCAGGATCTTCAGCACAAAGGCCGTGAGCCTAAAGGAAGGAAGGGATAGCTGGAGACAAGGCTAGACCCTCTGGTGACCTGGTTTGTGGTCTCTTGTTCTCCTGAGGCCCTGAACACACAGCCCAGCCTCACCAGGTGCTGCTGTCCCTGTGCAACCAAGCCCCAAAGGAGCCATCTTTCTTCCGGAACTGCTGGATGCGCATGTGCCCTGGAAGGGAGAGCTGGCTGTGAGGTGACGTGCCCACTCTCCCGCTGTCTGTGCCCGGGCTGTGCACCCAGCGATCACCCCCAGCTTTCTCTAGGCTCCCAGCTGCCCATCATGCCCTCCCTGCCTGTGACTCTGACTTTACTGAGCACAGAACCTTTCTGGATGAGCTCCACAGCACGGTCCTTGGTCTCAGGGGGTAGTCTGCTCCACTGCTCTGTCTTGTCCAGGTAGTGGGAAGCAGTCAGAGTAGGAGCCAAATAGATCATGGTTTGTTCCGCACAGCCCCGGGGAAGTCTCAGAAGGGAGGCCACGCCTCCCGGGGACAAGGCGCCTTCAGAGCCCAAAGTTTCCAAGGGTTCAGAGGCTGTGAAGGAAGAGAAGGTGAGGATGAGACTGTGGGGACCCAGCCTCACAGGGAAACACAGCAGCCTACAGGTTTCAGGCACACGCAAGTGCTCATGGGAAAGGACCAGACTCTGACCTGTAACCCTGACGAAGCTGCTGAAATCCCCATCAGGGATGATGTTGGGATCAGAGCTGCCGGGAATTTCCAAAGTCCGGGCTCGGTTATCTAGGGAGATGAGAGGAGCTGGCGGTCGGCCCCTGTGCCCCTTAACTACTGCCCCATGGAACTGGCAGCTGGGGTAGGAGGAGCCACTCACCCAGGGGGTTGAGTTCGTAGACCATCTCTTCTCTGTGGATGGCCCCTTCCTTCTGTCTCAGTCAAAAATATGGAGGCAGGGATCAGCCAGGAGTACACGAGCCCCTCCTGGGGCAGACACCCTAGGACTTAGAGCTAACTTCATGGATGGGAACCCTGGTCAACCCGGCTCACGGGTCTACCATGCAGAGTCCTAGGTTTAACTCCCAGCACCGCAAACAGTAAATGACATAGAGGAAAAACGTCAGAAACAGCTGGCTGTGACCGTGCCTGCCTGCGAGCCCAGCAATTGGGAAGACAAAGGCTGAGGATTACTGTAAGTTCAAGGCCAGCTTGGGCTACATATCATATCTAGAATGAGTCTGAGGCTAGCCTGGGCTACATATCTAGCCTCTGTCTGAAAAGTAGTAAACATGTAAAATTTCAGAGACAGAGCTGAGTCACAATCGCAGTGGCGGGTGGGTTAGCAGTGCACTAGGTTTGGGCGCTGAGCTCTGGTCTCGCCAGCAGATACTAAAGAACACAGCCGGGAACCAGGGCCTAGATTAGGGGCAGTCACTTACTTCGATTTGCAGAATCTTAGAGACAGCATCTCCCACGAAATTCTCAATAGACCCTCGAGCCACCACTTTCAGGGACACAGAGGCAGCAGCCGTGGGTACCACAGAGAAGGCCACAGGCCGGGCAGAGCCTGCGGGCACCGACACCTGCTGAGCCAGTCCTCCACCACCAGCCATGCACAGTCCTTCCACGGGGGACACATGGACACTCACCTGAGGACAGGAAAACGGGGCTGGCCAGAGTCCTAATCCAGCCAAGTCTGCTGCCTGTCCTGTCCCTGCTAGCACCTACCCTTTCCCCCCAGCCCTGAGTATACAGACTCCCATGGGTCTCACAGTCACGTCAGTATTGAGATAGTTGTAGAGAACGGGCCGCAACTCGAGCTGCTCAAAGCGGCGGACAGAGGTGGGCAGGCGCAGATGCAGGTGGAATTCTCGGAACACGCGCACACGGGTCGGTGTGGCTACACACAGGCCTGTGGATGGGGAAAGGAGGCAGGGGCAGAGGTGCAGGGACATGAGTACCTCAGGGCACAGGAAGGCAGGGTCTGGCAATGACTCCACTCTGCCCTCTGCTTTGACAGCTCTCAGGATAGATGCACACCAGGGGAGGTCTTCCCAGGTGTATGGGCTCCACCCCGTGCTGGGAGCAGAGGACTAAGCAGTCAAGGGGAAGGGAAGGGAGCAGCCTGAGGTGTGGGCAGGGTTACCTCACCTTTGCTTCTGGACAGGCTCACGCCATGAATCTCCCATGTGGTCAGAGAGTCAGGGAGCAACAGTGTCAGCCTGTAGTGGAAATTCAGAGAAGCCATGTCACCGCACGGGACTGTCCCCAGAACCAGCCCGGAGGCCAGGTCAGCAGCCCAGGCCCTCACAGTTTGGAGCGGTCCACGGGCTCCACTCTCCAGAGCCAGTTCTCCGGGAAGTAGCTGCGCACGAGGATGTCATCTTCATCAATCAGGTCTTCCTCCTGCAGCACCTCCTGGGCTGGGGAAGGGGCACAGGAGTGAGGGGAGGTTTGGCCCTCTCAGGCACCACTACTGTTCCCCAGCTTCACCTGGCTGCTCACCTCGGGCAAAGCCCGCCTGGCTTCTGGTCTGGTTCTTGCGCAGGACCTCAGCAAACAGGCAACAGGACAAGAAGGGCTCCTGGCAGCTGGCCGGCCGCACCCGGGCTGCCCGCTGCTCACAGGTGCGCACCATGGGCAACCTTGTCAGCCCGTCCTGGCAGCAGCGCTTGGCCTCTGGGGAAGCATACTGGCCCACTGGTAGGCCAGGGGAGGCTGGGCAGGTGCAGGACCTGAACCTCAGCCCCACCGTCCCCTGGAGAAACCAGGATGTGCCTGGAAACTGTCAGGAGACCGATGGAATGTCCCATCCAGCCTCCACCTGCAACCCTTGCCTTCCCAGCCCTCAATGCCACAGCTGGCTGAGGGGCTGCAGAGGACAGAGAGGCAGACCCCACCCTGGTTTCTTCCACAACTCACACTTCTCACTGACAGCCTTCTGGAAGTCCACGCTTCTCTTTTGCCGGCTTTTCTTCTCCTTGGGACAGCTCAGGCCTGGCAGAGAGCAAGAGGACAGCGGCCAAGCAGTGAGGATCTGGGTCACCCTCCTTCCCTGTCCGTGGCCAGGCCTTTTCACCCTTAAATCCTGCAGTCGGCCTCCCTCCCTCGGCTGCTCCCACTGCTCCATTCTTTTTGTTTTTTTAGTAATATTAGCTCTGCTTTCTGTTTCCATTCTATCTCTTTTTGTTTTAGTCTTTTGAGACAGGGTTTCTCTGTGTAGTCCTGGCTGTCCTGGACTCACTCTAGACCAAGATGTCCAGGGACTCACAGAGAGAGAGATCTGCCTTCCTCTGCTTCCCGGCTGCTTAGATCCCTTGCCCCATTCCTACACCACCCCAGCCTTTCCTCCCTTGTCTGGTCCCCCTGGCTCCATTCTTACCCTCCCTGACTTGACTTAGTTGGTCTCCATCAGAAAAGGCCAGACCAGCAGCCTGGAACACCTCAAGGGCATTGTCCCCACCTCCAGGACCACAGCCAAGGTTGTAGCTGTTCATTACTTCAAAGACCTGGCAGGGTAAAAAAGAGATGCTGGGACACAGGAGTGGCTGAGGGGCACGGCCTGTCACTCTGCTGAGGGTATTAGGGCAGGGCTTGAAGAAACTTGAGCCTTGTGGAGTTAGAACTGGAGACCACGGGTAAGAGAGGAAGGGGCCAGGCTCCAGGCTCCAAGGCAGGCCCGAGAGGGGCCTGAGGCATCTGGGTGAGTGGACCTTAGGCTCACAGGAAATGGAGAGGGCTTGACAAACCTTGCCCATGTCGAGGGGTTTGTGAGTCTTGCCACCCACAGCATACAGAGCTGTGTCCACGGCGCCCAGGGCCACCAGGGCTTCGGGGTCTGTCTTAATCTGCAGCTTCATGCTGTCCCCAGTGTGATACTCCTTGGCACCATCCACGTTCAGTTCCAGCTGGCCAAAATAGGAAATACAGGGCAGTCAGCGGGGCAGAGCGGGCTAGGGACGTGGACCAGAGGCTGAAAGTGTGTGCCATTCAGTCATGACGACTGGCATCTGAAAATCCTGTAACTCTGGCCTGGAAAGGTGGAGAAGGGATTCCCAGAGCACGGCAGTTAGCAAGAGTAGGCTTCTCAGTGAGCACCAGGAGACACCGAGGGAATAAGGCAGAAGAGCAATCCAAAATGACTCCCAATCTCCACAAGCACATGCAAACTCATGCATGTGTGCCCATGCAACATACGAGATATACGCACACACGAGCCTGCCTCACTAACACACACAGAGACACACACACACTCAGAGATAGAGAGAGAGAGAGAGAGAGAGAGAGAGAGAGACGAGATATACACATGGACGAGCCCGCCTCACTAACACTCACAGACACAGATATACACAGGCACGAGCCTGCCTCACTAACACACACACACACACACACACACACACACAGAGACGAGATATACACACGCACGAGCCCGCCTCACTAACACACACACACACACACAGATATACACACGCACGAGCCTGCCTCACTAACACACACACATACAGAGACGAGATATACACACGCACGAGCCTGCTTCACTAACACACACACACACACACACAGATATAAACACGCACGAGCCTGCCTCACTAACACACACACACACACACACAGATATACACACGCACGAGCCCGCCTCACTAACACACACACACACCCAGAGAGAGAGAGAGAGAGAGAGAGAGAGAGAGAGAGAGAGAGAGAGGAGATATACACATGCACGAGCCCGCCTCACTAACACACACAGACACAGATATACACAGGCACGAGCCTGCCTCACTAACACACACACACACACACACACAGATGAGATATACACACGCACGAGCCCGCCTCACTAACACACACACACACACAGAGACGAGATATACACACGCACGAGCCTGCCTCACTAACACACACACACACACACACAGATATACACATGCACGAGCCTGCCTCACTAACACACACACACACACACACACACACACAGATATACACACACACGAGCCCGCCTCACTAACACACACACACACCCAGAGAGAGAGAGAGAGAGAAAGAGAGAGAGAGAGAGACTGCCCCTGCAGTCCCAGTCACCTGGCCCTCACAGTCCCCAGGCTGCACATGAATGAGTAGGGAGTTGGCCACAGGAAGTCCTTGGTGGTAGAAGTAGGCCACAACGTAGAAGGAAGGGGCCAGGCGATGGTCCACCAGGATGGAGACAGAGGTCAGGGTCCTCCTGGGCTCCCGGTTCATGATCACGATCTGGCCCCGGGAGAGGATCTGAGACAAGGAGGAGCAGTGAGTGATGTTCTGCTTGGTGTAGACCCTACCCTGTCCTGAACCTGCCCAACACCAACAATCCTATACCACGAGTCCCACACACCATGTAGTAGTAATGAGAGAAGGTAGGCCCCTTAATGCCCACAGTTCGCAGGTTAAGGATGAAGTTGTCCCCCACACGAGGGGGTTGAAGGTCTTGGGGCTCAATGGACAGAAAGCCAGAGCTTCCTGGAGGTGGGCCTTTCACTGTGAGCCTGGCTAGGGCAGGATGGACAGAGCCTGCAGACACCTGGACAGAAGAGCAGGGAAGGCCGGGGTCTATGACAAGGACCCAGGTGCACAAATGCTCCCCCCCAGACTCGAGCAGAAGCACTCAGAAAATGACTCTCAAGCCCTCTCTTCCCGCACGCCCGACCCCAGGGCTCAGAGAAGCGCTACCAAGAGCTGCAGTTCTGTGGTGCCTGGTGGGACAGGGATAGAAAGGCTGACTTGGCCAATCCTGTTGGTGTTCTGCTCTAAGTCGAGGACTCTTGAGCCAGAGCCAGCGGAGAACGTGGCAGAAACTTTGACAGGAATGTCAGAGGCTGTGGAGCCTGACATCTCTCGGACCACAGCCTAGAGGGACATGGGTGAGAAAAAGGCCATGCTCAGAACTGTGCAGCCCATGCGTGCGCCCATCCGCTCCTGCCCTTCAGAGAAGAACCTGCAGCACGAAGTGGGCTCCAGGCACAAGGTGCTGCTTGGTGTTGCTGAGGTCCAAGGAGAAGGCAGATGACACAAAGCGCCAGGATGTGAGCTCTGCCTCCTCCATCTCCCCACCTATAGGACAGAAAGGGGGCAGATAGGGGGAGTAAGGAACCCAGGAAAGAGACAGCAGTCAGGAAATGGCTCAAGCATCCTTCCCTCCTCACATGTGTGTAACAGGTCTGTCGAGTGCATGAGTGGACAGATGGAAGGTACAAGACAACTGGGGACAGACAGGCCCAGAGAGAGGCAGATTTGGGGTCGTTGCTCTTGGCTGTGTGTCTGAGATGAGCAGGCAGACATCAGGGCTGTACTGAGGATGAGGAGCTGGGAAAACGGTGTAACTGGCATATTATTTTATATTATTTATTTAGTTAGGTTTTTTGAAACAGGGTTTCTCTGTGTAGCCCTGGCTGTCCTGCACTCCCTCTGTAGATCAGGCTGGCCTGGAACTCAGAGATCCACCTGCCCCTCTCTTACTCCCAAGAGCTTGGGTCAAAGGCCTGCACCACCACGGCTGCAGGGCTGCACTGACAGTATCAATGCTGCACCACCACGGCTGCAGGGCTGCACTGACAGTATCAATGCTGCACCACCACGGCTGCAGGACTGCACTGATAGTATCAATGCTGCACCACCACGGCTGCAGGACTGCACTGATAGTATCAATGCTGCACCACCACGGCTGCAGGACTGCACTGATAGTATCACTGTGCCCCCGTGTCTAGGGTGGCAGCAGAAGAAAGCCACCCACCTGGAGACTCGATGACGGCTGCCGCGGCATAGAGGCGCAGCCCCTCCAGGTCTGCAGCCCCAACACTGACTTTACCCAGGGCAGCCTGGAGCTGGTCCTTTGAGATGGAAACTTGACTCTGGCCTTCCACCAACTAAACAAAGACAACAGCATGTAAGTGAGGATCCCTCTTCTGTTCAGTGCCCTCTTCACCACACCCCTACCAAGGCCTGGGTTCCCAGTCTCAGTGCCCTCTTCACCACACACTACCTTAGTCTGGGTCTGCAGGTTCTGTGTCCTCTTCATCACGTCCCTACCTTGGTCTGTGTCTCCAGGCCCCGAAGGAAAGTCCTCTTCCCATCCTCATCCATGAGTGCAAAGCGCGTGTACGCCACACCCTGCACGGGCTTCCCGTAGATATACCTGTTCCCACAGGAGATTCAGAGAGCTGAGAGCTGGAGAAATACCTCAGCAGGCCAGGTGATTACCGTGCCAGCACCAAAACCTGAATTCAACTCCCCTGAATCCATGTAAATCACCAGGTGAGACAGCATCCACTTGTAAATCCAGCAGTGGGAAGGTGGAGGCAGGGGGCTTGGGGTTGCCTAGACAACCAGCCTAGCCCTTTAAGTAAGTTCCGTCTCAATGAGAGACTGTCTCTCGAAGGAGATGGACAGAGATCCTAACAATGCCCCGAGGTTGTCCCCTACCTGCGCATACATGTACACACACACAGGCCCCTGCACTCGTAAACACACACACGCACATCTTTAATCCCAGTACTCAAGAGGCAGATGGACTGCTGTGAGTTCAGGCCAGCCTGGTCTATTAGGTGGGTACACAGGGAGGGAAAGACAAGGTCTCAAAAACAAAACTAAAGAAGAAGAAGGAAGCAAGAAAGGAAAGAAGGAAGGGAGGGAGGGAGGCAGGAAGGGAGGGAGGGAGGAAGGGAGGGAGGGAGGAAGGGAGGAATGGAGGCCATAGAGTTGGGCTCTGCAGGACGATTCCTGGGTGTGGGCAAGAGGGTGGCGGTCACCTGGCCTGGATGTCTAACTGTATTTCATCCATGTAGCCGGGCACTGACAGGATATATGGCTTCTGTGGGGTGATCTTCACTTCAAAGTTGGGAAGAACTGAATGAGGGTAAAGAGATGAGTGGCCAGGCACCAGACAAAGGGTCCTCCACAGCTCCCTCCCGCAGGGCTGCCCTGCCTCACCTCCTGTCCCCACCCACACTTCAGCACTTACTGTATTTCTTCACCTCAAAGAGGGCACTTCTATTGGACTGCAGGCCGTCTGAGAACCTCGCTGAGATCGTCCAGGTCCCCGGCCTGACAGTGGACAAGGGAGAGACTTCAGCTACCCACAGACAGCCCATGGCCTGCATCCTCCAGAAGAGGCATGGGGGGCACAGGGCCAGAGCATCTGGAACGTGACCCCCTATGTCAGAGGGACGTGTTGATAGAGGGGTGGCCTGAGGTGGGGCAGCTCACTCTGAGATGTCTGGGATCACGAAGTCATCCTGGAAGATGGACGTAGGAGCAAACACCTCCTTCTTCCGAACACGGAGGCCATTAGAGTTCTGCGGGGGAGTGGGCAGTATCAGTGTGGCCAGGTGAGAGATCACACCAGTGCACAGGGTCAGGAGGTCAGAGGTCAGGCACTCACCTCCACCATAACTGTGAGGGTGTCGGTGGAAGGGCGCATCTTGTGATCCAGAGCAAAAACCCGGTAACGAACTAAGAGTGGAGGATGAGAGGTAAGAGCCCCTGCACAGAGGGACAGGGACCCCAGGAGACGCTGGGGACTAAACCCTAAGCAGTCCTCTGGGTGGTGCCGTCCGTGGGGTCACCTCACACAGAGGACACCAAGCCACCAAGCGCAGGCTCTGAGCACCCTGGGAGAGGAAAGCAGAGGCGCTGAGGCAGGAGGCTCACCCCGCTGGCCAGGGTTATAAACAGGCTGGTCAGTCTGCACGAAGATGTGCCCACGGCGAGAAGAGAACAGTAGGTTGACGCCCTGTGTGTCTGTGGCTTTGGACAGGGAGCTCTTTAGCCAGGAAGACTGAGCCACCAGCTGGACGTGGGGGGCTCTGCGTAGCTCAAAGAGGCCACAGTTGCTCACATAAGGCAGTGGGACCTGTCAGGAGTAGGCGGGGAGAGACTGTCCAAGACGAAAGGGACTCAGAGCCCAGGACAGGGACACTAAGACCAGTGGGCGGGCCAGCCATAATGGCATGTGGCAGTAACCCCAGCACTAGGGCGGCCAACAGAGGACTGCTGAGCGACCACTCGCAATCCAGGCTATACTGTGAAAGCCCGTTTCCAAACCAAAAATAAACATAAAAGGCAACAGAAGAACCTGGTGGATCACAGCACTCGGGAGGCTGAGGCAGGAGGATTGCTGGGAGTTCAAAGCCAGGCTGTTACATAGCAAGCTCCTGTCTGTGACTAAGCAAACAGGCACAGGGTACACAGGGAGGCCTAAGAAACAGCAGGGGTGTGGGCACTGGTTACCTCGAGGCTGAGAAGCACAAAACCATTTCCTGAACTGAGCACAAAATCCTTCTTTGGGCTGCAGATGCGACCATTTTGGTTTCTCAGGAACACTGATCCTTTTACTTGCTGTCCTGGAGGGGCATCCTGGAGCTGCAATCCCACTGACAGAGGGACCCCCAAATTCACCACAGAAGGGGAGAAGAGGAGCAACCTGGGAGAACAGTAGAGGTACTTCAGACCCGGCCTAAGACCACCACCCCACTCCCCCTAACCCGCACCTTCAAGCCCAGTGTCTGGCCCCAGGACCTGGGCTTCTGCAGAGACAAGGCAACGACGCTCAGCACCCAGAGCAGTCCCCATAGGAGCCGCATGGCTGCAGGGTCCAGGGAGGTCAGACCTGTCTGGTCAGAGGTCTGCTCCCTTCTGGGCAACCTAGGCCTGGGGCAGTTTGACTCTGGACCTTGCTCCTCCTCTCGCCCAGATGAGCCGGGAAACCACGTGATGGCCAAGAAACGCAACTGGCCCTAGGCCCAGTGCTGGGGAAGCAGCCCAAACATCAGGGTCTCTGAAGAAATCTTGGCCCCAAAATGAATTTTGTGCTTGTTATTCCCAGTACCGGGCACCGCCCTCAACTGTGTTCATGCACATGTGTTAGCCCATGTGTGTTCGCAAAGCTCCAGCATGGCACATGGGCAGGACTGCTGTAGTTCCTACAAATCAGGAATGGCTGCAGAGCCCCCTGCCTCCTACATTCAGCACACTGAACTGCAGTCTTCTGCTTTGGGCAGGCTCTAACCGAAAGCTTCCGTTCAGAAAATAGCATACTCCTAGTCACACAGGGAAAATGGCCTGAGTAATCCTTGTTCTCTCTCTGAACTAAGACAAAATCTCAGCCCTAATCGTGGCTTCACCCTATCCACAGACACCCTGCGCACATCACAGTAAACAACCGACAGCAAGGAGACAGGCACAAGTATTTTATTTGGCAATTTCCAGCTGACCCGGAGGGCAGTTTTCTGCTCCCTCCACCGTCCTGTCCCCTTGGTAGGGCCCTGGCTCCACACCACAGAAACAGAGATGCAGTGCACAGGCGCAGTCAGGTGCGACCACTGCTGCAGCAGAGCCTGGCACCAACCAGCCACCCGGGGCAGCGCTGCCAGGAATGTCACTCAGTGAGTTACACAGTACAAGAATTGAGTCCTCACGTATCCGGAAGGCGAAGGAGGGTTCCAGAACTGGTGGGGACACTGTGTAAGAGAAAGACAAGACTGGAGTCATCTGCCTCGCCCCACAGTGTGCTCCCGAGTCTCCGAAAAGAAGCACACTGGGCTTCACTAGTGAATGATGCATGACTGGGGATACCCCACCCGAGCACTGCGCTTTTCCTGAGATGCAGGACTAGACTCACCAGTCCACTAGCTGGGCCCCAATGACGTCATGCACATGGTATGCAAGGCCGAGCCGCACTGCTGAAGGGGGCCTACGGCCCAGCAGCTCTGACAGGAGAAGTTCCCGGTATTTGGCCTTCCGCACCATGCTGAGTACAGCCTGGCGCCCTGGAGGAGAGGTAGCCCAGGAAAAGGAGGTGAGTCCGATGTGGAGACCTAAAGACCCCCCAGGTGTTCTTGAGGCACTGAGGACTTGTCTTTAGGCAGCACACCTTTCACAAAGCACTTGATGAATCTCCCAGCTCCAGGCACAGCCAGCCACCAGCTCCCAGCATCTCGGACAGTGAGGACTCCAGCGTTCACCAGGTGCCTGCAGGTTGGGGGAGGCCAGGTCAATGCAGCCAGGGAATCCCTGTTCCCCAACTCTTGATGTGTAGACTCCAAGTGTCCAGAAACACAGACAACCTAAGGCAGGATCCACCATCCCTGCCTGAGTGTCCTTCTGTATATTTTTCCTCTATAACCTTGCTTGTATGTGTACATGTATGTGTGTGTGTGCATGCAGGCATGTAAGTACACAAGTACACACAAGCATATAGAGGCCACAGGTTTACATTAAGTATGTACAATCACTCTCAACTTTCTTAAAAAGACATTTCTATTGTATGTGTATGGGTGTTTTGACAACATGTCTATCTGTACAGCACATGCACGCAGGGCTTGTGGAGGCCAGAGAGGGCACTGCATCTCGAGACTGGAGTTACAGACAGCTGGGAGTCATTTTGTGGGAGCTGGGAATCGAACTCTGGATCTCTGGGAGAGCAGTCAGTGCTCTTAACCACTGAGTCACCTCTCCAGCCCCATTCCCCCTTTTATTTTTGAGACAGGGTCTTTCTCTCTCTCTGTCGCCCTGGCTCTCCTAGCACTCACCATGACAGGCTGGCATCAAACTCAGACATCTACCTGCTCTGCCCACTGAATGCTGGGACTGACTTGTTTTTTGAGACAGGGTCTCTGTCTGAACCTGGGACTGGCTGGTATGGCTACACCTTGCTGTAGGATATCCACTTGCCTCCGTCCCTTTCAGCACGGGGTGCAGACACCTGCTGTGCTCAGCGGTATGGCCCTGGAGCCTGCACAGCAGGCCCGGCCCTCTGATGAGTGCTGGTAAAACAGCTCCCTTAGGAGGCTTCACTGACACAGCCCTGAGATGCGCCTGAGTGCGGGTCGTCTCAGGGCACACATAACCTAAGAACGCCCCCACTCAGCCTGATACTTCTCAGAGGAGACCAGAGACCTCACACACAGTGCGTTTAGGCACCTTCCATACCAAGACCTTGATTAGTACTTTTCCCTTTTCTCTATGGGGACCCTGTGAACGTGATCTTTAGGGACACTGCAGCCTCTACCGTCCTGTGGTCTCATAGAGAGCACTGTTAGGCATGGCTCCTGCTAGGCCTCCTGTGTCTGGCAAGCCTCTCACTCTCCTGATCTATTGACCCCACAACGGCTCACGTGATTTCCGAGTCCCTGAAGCCGTAAGTCTGCGTCATCTGGTCCTGTTGTAAACTAAGGTCTCCACAGGCTGGGAGCACCGAGGCCAGGAACTTCTGCACTGCTGCAGCACACGGTCGGCCATCACAGGCCTTCAGGACCTGGAAGCGCAGAGTTGATGTCTGTGAGCAGGGTTCTCTATCCACCTCATCCTGACTCCTCCCTCTCTGGGGTCCTTCTACTTCTCAGACCCTTTTCCCTACTCCCTCATAGTTCCTGGTCTCTTCCCCCAATCTTACTACTTACCAGAGCTCTGGACACTGTTTATGAGTTGTGGGCTAGGGATAATGTTTCTTTTGTTGTTTCTATGCCCAACTCCCCTGCCCGCCCCCTCCCTCCCTCTCTCCCTCTCTCTCTCTCTCTCTCTCTCACACACACACACACCCACACACACACACATTCTCTCTCCCTCTCCCCCCCCTCCACGTTCATGTGCACACGTACTCTGGTCCTGTAGTCTTCAGTGAAGACAATTCCATGAGCATCCAAGTCAAAGCCTAGCTGGATGATCTTGATCTCTCCTCGCTCTTGAAGCTCCTTCTGTCTCCACAGAGATGAGAGTAGAAAGAAAGACGTAAGAGAAGCTGAGCACTGGGGCAGGGGGTCTGGCTGCCACTGTGTGGGGGTGGGGCAGGGGCTGTGACAGGATTGGGACATCTACCACGCAGAGAGATACTCTTGTGGACCGTCAAGCAGCCCTTTCCAACTAGTGACCTCAAACAATCCATAGAAACATCCTCTAAACCACACCCTTACCAGTCACTGCACCAAAGTGTGATGAGGGTGCAGGGCACGCCTTTAATCCCAGCACCGGGGAGACAGAGGCAGGTGGATCTGTGAGTTTGAGGTCAGCCTGGTCTGCAGAGTGAAGTTCCAGGCCAGCCAGAGCTACAAAGTGAGACTTTGTCTTAAAACAATTTTTTTTATTGCTTAAACATTAAAAAGTTCAGAAAATCGTAGGAACTGCCAGACAGATATATTAAAGTGGGAACAAAGACTCTGACAGAAAGGAAACGCTGAGGCGTGTTTGCGGATCTGAGCAAAGCTCATGAGCAAATATAACTAGGAGCAATACTTGCTGCAGAGCACCCAGTTCAGTCACCACGTCTGGTGGCTCCAGAAGTCCAGTGCCCTCTTCTGGCCTCGGAGGGTGCATACATACGTGGACACACATGCATTCATGTGGGCACACACACATACACACACATGCACATAGCCACAAACAAAGACAACAAATACTTTTAAACAAATTATTAATCTAAGGGAGATTATAAACTATTCAATACAATAATATGAGAGCCAAAACTACTGAACACGGAAGTGCCTTCAGGGGTTCAAAGTCTACTTAATTTGAGTTCCAGAAGAAAGCAAAGAGAGGACGCAGAGAAAATGTTTAAGAGCTGGCGACAGGACTGGTGAGGTATCTCTGCTGTCAGGCCTGCTGACCTGAGTTTAACCCTCCCTTCCCCATGGAGAACAGAGTCCCTTTAGCTGTCTTCCGACTTCCATATATGCACATACACACACAAATAAAAAGAGTCACTAGTAAATGAAAAAATCAGAGGATTATACAAATCCAGTTCTCTTAAGTTCATAGAAGAAGGAAATAGATCATCAGTGAAGAAATAGAGTATTTCAATTATAACCTCAGTGAGAGAGATCAGTGATTGAACGATATTTTTTCCCAAATACACATCTATAACACTTAGCAGAAGAGGCCATGCCTGGGGTCACCGTGATCTTGTGTAATTCTCTGGCCGCAATGTCATGTGAGAACACAGTAACAAGCCTGGAGCGTATGGCACAGGTCTTACTAACTCCAGACCGTCACAAACGAGGTAGGAAGACACTTCCAATGGATCAATGATGAAAATATAATTTGAATCTTAGATGAAATTTGTAACTCATCAAAAACACATGTTTCAAAAGGATGCACAAACTGGAACAGGTTCATAACATGGGAACCCATGAAAATGGATTAACTATTGTTACAGACAGCTTAGAATAATCTCAAAACTACCCAGCTAATTACAAGAATTGGACAAATACAGTGCTGTAGGCTTCTTCAGATCACTGAAACTGGGTAATTAACACATGGCAGAATCCTCGCTTGCCCAGCTGTGTGAGGCTCTGAGTTCCAGGCCCAGCACCATCAAATGATGACAGTAAGGAGCAGTGCCCCCAGAAGGTCACTGTGCCTGGAGAGAGAGCCACACTGTCAAGAACCAAAACCCTTATGATAAAGGCTCTCAAGAGTTGCCCAGTGCTCCCCTCTCTTCTGCCATTGAGGAACAGCAAGGACAGAATCTTGGGAACAGGGAGAGTCAACCCCCAGCAGATACTGTGCCAGCTGAAGCCGTCATCTTGGACCTCCACCTTCACAGCTGTAAGAAATGAATTCTGCCGTTTCTAACATAGACTAAATGGCCTCTGGCGTGTTCCTAGAGCAACACGAATAGACCAGACTGTAAGACTCACAGTATGATCTCACTGTCGAGGTAAAAAAGGCATGAAATCAGCTCTTCTTGATGAACACACACACATATAGTATGAGGAAAGTCAAAAGGGACAGTCAAAGTAGTGGTCACCGTGGGAAAAAGACGATGGAGGGAGCTGGCCGTGTTCTCTACTCTGTCCAGGTGGGGACTACAGGAGTAACATCTTTGTATCAGGGGTGGGTGCCAGGCCTCAGATGGTGGTGCACACCAGTAACCCCAGCACTTAGGAGGTAGAGGTAAGAGGATCAGAGTTCAAGGTCACCTCAGTGAGTTCCAGACGAGCTGAACTACAGGAAATCCTGCCCCAAAGAACTCAAAAACAAAAGTTTAAGTGTCATGGAGGGCTCCTGTCATCCCACCACTAGAGAGGCTAGAACAGGAGGTCTCGGGTGTAAGGCAGTCAGGTTATAAAACAAAACGTGTGAACGTGTTTGCATTTCTCTCATGCAAGTCTTATAGGGTGTTTTTTTTTTTGCAAAAAAATAAAAAAAAATTATTTGTCATGGGGAAGAACGCAAATGCTGTGGCCTGCATGAGGAGTCGAGGGACAACTGTGGGAATGGGTCTCCTTCACTACGTGGGTACCAGAAATCGAACTCTGGCGTCCAGCTGGGCGCACCCTTTACCCACCCAGCCACCTCACTGGCCCTAAATAACTTACGAATGTTGTGCTGGATAACGGAGCTCCATTTGAAGCTCGGCCTCCGTATGAGTACCTACTAGCTGTTTGTCTGCGTGCCCGGAGGAAAAGTTCCCAATGGCCCTGACTCAGAAATGTACAGCCGGGACCGCCTACTTGTTATGACTGACTGCTTTTTGGCTTCTGTCCCCTACTTAGGCAGACAGTCTAGGACTACCTTGGCAGAACAGCTCCTTGTGGTTTTTACCTTTGTAAAAACCCTTCCCTCGCTCCCCCTTCGAATGGCCCAAGATTGCTGTCCTGCTAGCAGTAATCAAAACATCTCTTAAATATACTTGGATTGAATCTACGGCCTTTTCTCGGGGGTCAGAAACTCCAGAGCCATGTAAGGGCGGAGCTAAGCCAGGGGAATCTGTGACGGAAGCTGAGAAGTGCCGGTCTGAAGGTGCGGAGCTGTGTGGATGCATTGCCCCGCACTGCTGCCTCTTTGTGAGCGGCTTTCACGGTGCTAAGACCTCTGACTCGGTGGTCTGTGAGGAGTTCTGGTAACACGGACACTGAGACTTGCCCGCCGGATTTAACTGGGAGGTGACTGTGATCCTTACGCCTTATCCCCAGGATCTTGCGAAGCAGGCCTTCAACAAACCTTAAACGCTGTGCACCCCGTACCTCTTGTTTCTGTCTGACGAGGGGCAGCCTGGCTTTCATCACCTTCTGAACTTGGTTACCGGGATACAGCACCTGTCTAGCCTCCCTAGGGGTCTCCTCCTCATGACTTTGCCTGGTGTTCAGAGGCCCAGAAGGATCTGCAGCCGCCATAGCCAACGATCTACCGCCTCCAGCTCAGCGGGCCGCTCAGCGCTCCCCTCCTCGATCCACTAACCCATTTCCCAAGTCCATCGCCTGGGAAATCGGGGAGTCGACAAGAGACTCAGCTCATCCACCTAGGCCTTCGCTAGTGACCCCGAAACAGCACGGAGAGGCTGTGTGAGCTGACGTCTGCCTGAGGGGCTGGCGAGGGTCGGAGTGACGGGGCGGGACGGGGCGGGGGCCGCCGACGGTCTCCCGGGCGCTCCTCACCAGCTGCAGGTCGGCCACCGTCCGGTCCGGCACCAGGCTGTACACCTGGCTCCTCAGCGCGATGGGCGGCAGCGCGTCCTCGAACAGCCCCCGGGGGAACAGCCGCGCCAGCTCCTCCACCGCCTCACGCGCGGACCCTGCCGGGGAGCGCGGGGTCAGGTAGGACGCCAAGGGCCGGCCCGCCGCCCCGCCGCCCGGTCGCCACGGTTACCTACCCTGGGTCCTCCTCCGAGGGCCGCGACCCTCGGGCCCGCCGCGCCCGGGTTGCCATGGTTACCTGCGCCCGCCCTCAGAGGATCCGCTCTCCCGGGCCCCGGCGCCCGCCGCCGCTTCACTCCAAAGGCCTCAGAAGCCAGGAGCTGTCTCTTGCGACTCATAGCCCGGGACTCGCCGCTTCCGGGAAAGCGCGCCCGGAAACGCGGGGAGATGACGACAGCGCCTCGGACGCGTCCGCGAGGGGCGGAGCCAGCCCCACTTCCGGCGCCCGCGCCGCTACCGATTGGCTCCGGGCGGCAGCACTCGCTCCCGTGGGGCGCGCTGGCGTCCACCTGGGATCGGCTTCAGGTGCCGCCGCCGGCCGTGCCGTCGCCCTTCCCTGCCTGAGGGTGATGACTGCGTCATCAGACGCGGCCACGACACTGTTGCAGCCTCTCCGGAGGGCTTCAGACGGGCTGCCCCGACGGCAGAGCGTGGAGAAGGTGGAAGCCAGGGCTGGGAGCTTTGAGGTAACCAGCTCTTTGCTCTAAGCCCGAACTACTTTTTGTTGTTTTTTTCGAGACAGGGTTTCTCTCTGCAGCCCTGGTTGTCCTGGAACTCGCTCTGTAGACCAGGCTGGCCTCGAACTCAAAGAGATCCCCCTGCCTCTGACTCCCGGGTTCTGAATTAAAGGCGTGCACCACCACTGCCCGGCTAAGCCTAGACTTCTTAAGCTCGCCGCGTCTGGGTGGCCGTGGACGGGTAAGAGGCGCTGGGCTCCTGAATGAGGAGGGGCAGGCGCTGCACCGCGCTGGGCTCACCCTGTCCTCATCTGCTCTAAAGTGCAAACCCTGTCCTCTCATGGAGCCCAGAGGAACCAAGAGAAAAGCAGAGAAGACAGATGTGGCGGAGCCTTGGAACCAGCTCCCGCGTCCACTGTCCTCACTGCGCACGGAGCCTGCTCTGTACTCTGGCCCCTTCCCCTTCTACCGGCGCCCTTCCGAACTGGGCTGCTTCTCCCTGGACGCCCAGCGCCAGTACCATGGAGATGCCCGAGCCCTGCGTTACTACAGCCCGCCCCCTATCAACGGTCCAGGCCCCGACTTTGACCTCAGAGATGGGTATCCTGATAGATACCAGCCCCGGGATGAGGAAGTCAAGGAGAGGCTGGACCATTTGCTGCGCTGGCTTCTGGAACACCGACACCAGCTGGAGGGGTGAGCGAAGCCCTGCGCGCAAGCTCATCTGCCCGCTTTTAGCTCCTGAAGTGAGGAGAGCCAGACGGGCTTTTAGCAGGGACTGTAGCTCACCTCAGCCAAGGCTTCTGTCAGACCACTAGCCCCAAACTCTTCCCTCTCAGGGGTCCGGGCTGGCTGGCAGGGGCCACAGTAACATGGCGAGGACACCTGACAAAATTGCTGACCACGCCGTATGAGCGGCAGGAAGGCTGGCAGCTGGCAGCCTCGCGGTTCCAAGGGACACTGTACCTAAGTGAGGTGGAGACCCCGGCTGCTCGGGCTCAGAGGCTAGCCAGACCGCCCCTCCTGCGGGAGCTCATGTACATGGGCTACAAATTTGAGCAGTACATGTGTGCAGGTGAGAGCTATCCCTGGTGTGCGGCCCCCCTCCCCTCTCTCAGAGGTCGAGAGCCCCTTCCCCTGCTGCTGCTGCTTTTCTCCTTGCACAGACAAACCTGGAGGCTCCCCAGACCCCTCCGGGGAGGTTAACACCAACGTGGCCTTCTGCTCTGTGCTACGCAGCCGCCTGGGAAGCCACCCTCTGCTCTTCTCCGGGGAGGTAGACTGCATGGACCCCCAGGCCCCATCCACACAGCCCCCCGCCTGCTATGTGGAGCTCAAGACCTCCAAGGAGATGCACAGCCCTGGCCAGTGGAGGAGCTTCTACAGGTTCAGGCCGGTGGCCAGGAGAGCCTGGGATGGAGAGGGAGCCTGGGGGTGAGGGGGAGGAGGGTCCTGCTGACCCTTTGCCTCTCCTGTCAGACACAAGCTTCTAAAGTGGTGGGCTCAGTCATTCCTCCCAGGGGTCCCACATGTTGTCGCCGGCTTCCGGAACCCAGAAGGTTTCGTCTGTTCCTTAAAGACCTTTCCTACCATGGAGATGTTTGAAAATGTCAGGGTAAGGCAGGGCATCACGGCTGCCACCTTAGGTCCAGTGTCCCTTGCCATCTGCCTTCCTCTCCCACCCCACTGTCCTCTGCCTCTTGTGCCTCCTCCAGAATGACCAGGATGGCTGGAGTCCCTCTGTGTGCATGAACTTCTGTGACGCCTTCCTTAGTTTTGCCCAGAGCACAGTTGTCCAGGATGACCCCAGGTAAGGACTTGAGGTTTGTGCACCACCTCTGGATCTCAGCTCGGTCTCTGGCTTCACCCCACACCTCCATCTTCCTCCAGGCTTGTTCACCTCTTCTCTTGGGAACCTGGTGGCCCAGTCACTGTGTCTGTCCATCGGGATGCACCCTATGCCTTCCTGCCCACATGGTATGTGGAAGCCATGACTCAAGACCTCCCGGCACTCTCAAAGACTCCCTCCCCCAAGGACTGATGCCTCAGGGGACACACCAGTCTGGACTCCCTGCAGATAATAAAAGCAGGTTTCTAAGCAGGTGTCTTGGTGCGTCTGAGTACAGCCATCCCCGCCCAATACTCCAAGCTTTCTCCTTTGCTGTTTTATTACTCGCTTTTGCCCAACACGCCCTTTACTGGGTGTAGAGGCTGGCTGCAAAGACAATGTCCCGCCGCAGCAAGGTGGCTGCCGTCTCCATCTTGGCGCCCAGCACGGGCTCCCCTACCAAACGGGCTGCTCCTCGAAGCGAGCGGCACATCTCAGCCAGGCGCTGGATGCAGCGGACCACTAAGCCTTCTGGGGTCCCTGAGAGCCCAGCCAACTCAGAGAAGGGCTATGGGGAGAGCAGAGTGAAGGCTAAATGTGCCAGGCCTGAACAACCTTCCCCAGCCAGCCACCTGCCAAACCCAGGTACTTACCATACCCCGAGCCCACTCATACACAACTTCAACCAGCCCAAAATTCAGCTCTCCCACAAATTCTTCCACTGTCTGGTTCAGGCCACAGGCCACCTGAACCTCACCAATCCGCTTAGCCACAGCTTTGACACGCTCCACCCCCTGCAGATAGTAAGGAGAGGTCAAGGCCCCTGATCTGGAAGAGGCTATGCACACCTTGGGAGACACTTACGGGGACTGGGTAGGGGGAATGCGGTTAGGGATGCACAAGCCAAGAGGGGGGTGATGGCCCCCACCTGTTTGAGGGTGCTTGGGAGCTGATCCCCAGGGTCACCGGGGCTCTGGCAGACCAGGCCGGAGAGCAGAGCTGCAATCTCCTCTGGTCGCAAGGTGCTCAGCGCATTGTCAAACATGAGCTCTGTGAGGAGCAGCTCGTGGCTGCTCATGGCGCAGGCCACTCGGCCTGCCAGCTTCACTGTGCCCGCCTCATCCACATAGCCCAGGGTCCGGAGCACCTACAGGAGAGGCGAGGGCTGCAGAGCCTGACTGCCCTCCAGGCTTCCCCCACCTCATGCCCCGCCCTGCTCTTTCACCTCTACACGCTGGTGGTACTCGGGGAGCAGCAGCAGCGACTGGTCAGACAGTAGGAAGCTCAGCCTCTCCATTTCCTTCTGAATCTGCCTTCGCTCCCGCAGCTTCAAGTACTAAAGAAAGCCACAGCAGAGACCATTAGCTCCTCAGCCCTCAGCGGGGGTACACAGGGTTGAGGGAGGAGTACCCAGACCATAGGGACCAGGGAGGAAAAGCTGCCTCAGCTTGCTACCTGGGCAGGGAACCGGGGGCTGTGCACACACTGAGCCCCCCGGATCAGCTCCTCCAGCTTCCGGGCCCGGAGCCCACCTTCCACCACTGACACATCCTTGAGCTGCAGGTCGTTGACAGGGTCAAGCGTCGGGGGCCCTGATGGATGGGCCTGAGCCAGACGCAGCAGCTCCTGAACTGCAGTGGTCACAGCTGCAAGGGGAGGGTCCTTCCTGAAGGGGGAGCAGGTTTGTGATCTGGACCAAGAGGCGTCTTTGCCACAGGAGCCCCTCTTGCTGAGGACACCCCTCGGCTCCCCACTGCATGGTCCCTTTGTACGTACACACCCACTGGGGCGTGCCCCTCCCTGGAAAAGGTTCCCCAAGTCTCTGACCTGAATTTTGGTTGCTGCCTCTTGCTGAAGTCCTCAGAGATCTTCTCCCCGTTCACCCGGAGCACTTTGGTGGAGATGGCAGCCACATCTCCTGGCTGGAGCTTGGCCACGGTGTGCTCACAGGGCCCTGGAAAGCCAGTCAGGTCAGACTTCGCCATGGCCCAGGCATCCTGTTCACACCACCACAAGGAGCTCACCTTCAGGCAGGAACAGCTTGAAGCCCACAAGGTCGTCTGGGTAGGGCACATCTGGAGTGGTTGGCCCCTTGTCCCGTGGGCTCTCAGACACAACAGGCTTATCACACAAGACCAACGTTGTAAACACTCTGCTGGTGGTTGAGGAGACCTAGAGGAACAAATGTGGACATGGTATGCCCACCCTGGACAGGGGTCTTGGGGACCAGGCACAGAGACAGGCATAAAATGATGACGAGCGGAAATGAGCACACCTCCGTGGGGGTGAGGACCCCCCTTGTCCTCACCTGCAGGATCACGCCTAACGCATTGTGATGCTCCTCGTTCTTCACAACTACCATCCTTCCCGTGGAGAGAGATTTCAGCCCGTTCACGGACTCCATGAT